TGACTGTTGGTGTCGTGGGAATGCTTAGGAGGCGAGGACTGGGACCCAATACTGGGGATCTCTCCTGCCCTGGTCCTCAGCCTTCAACATTTTCCCTGCCTGCTTTTTCATTTCTTGCCCTTCTCCAACACCTACTATACACTTCCTAAGGTGTGAGAGTCGTGCTGAAAGGATGAAAGGCTGACTTTGTGCCAGTCCTGAACAACCTGAAGGAGCCATGGGCACGGTATTCCTGTTTTAGTTGTCCAGCCCTTATCCTCAAGGGGACCTTGAGGATTGGACTTTTTCTCTCCCCAACATACTCTAGGCTTACCATGGCAGTAATGAAGATGTTATACCCTTATTAGGGGCAATAAGGCTTGCCCCTTCATCAAGTTCTGGTTCCCCAGGCTCTCTTTTGACCACGACTCTGAACACTGCAACTACTTCCTGCTCCTCAAAGCCTACTAGTGCATTATCCACCTAAAGCAACACTCAATCTTCAGGAGACATTCCTACTCTCCCAACATTCTCAATTTCATCACCTCAACCCCCACAATCTTCTTCATCAATCACCCCATCCTCCCCTATTACTGCTTTACAGCCTCCCTTAACACTACTCCCTCTTCCACACGTCCCCGTCGTTCTACCGCCCCCATCTCTACAAATATCTTACTCTAGCCAGCCAAATGGGACCGTTCCGCAGCCCGATTCCCTCTATGTGCCCGACCAGGTCATAACCGATCAAACTGCTTTGCACAGTCATGCACATGTGCCAATTGTGGCGGCCCCACTAATGTATTTTATAGGGGCTGTCCCACCTACAAGTTTGAGTCTGAGGTAGCAACACTCAGATGCAGACTTAGACTCACTCTGCATGAAGACAGACAGGAAGCACATCGACGAGGTTTTTCTCAAATTCTTTTGCCACCCTAAATCCAGACACTCCAATCTCTGTTGCAGCTCCAACACTTTCCCCTTTCCCTCCCATCACTACCTTCAACAGACAGACTAAACTTTCCACCCCTTCTTCTACCACACTCACCTCCTATCTTTCTCTCTACTCCTCAGACACCAGTGTCCTCTTCCCCCCCCTCGTAAGAAAACCTTTGTCACGCAAAACTCCCCAACCAACTCCTTTACAGAAACTGTTGAAGATATTCAAATTATCTACTTGAGTCCCAAACTAACATTGAAACCCCTCATCCACCCTCAAAGTCCACAATCCCGCTCCCTCCACACTCAAAGTGACTGCTGATATCCATCTTCCTCCTACTCATATTCCCCTACACCCCTTCCTCCTACACCCTCCCAACACAGCCCATTCCCCCCAGCTCCAGCTCCACCTCATTAACTCTCCCTCCATCTCCTCTATCCCTTCCACTCCTTCCTGGACACACACGTGAATCCCTTGTCACAACTGTGCCCTTCCCCAGATCCTCCTCCACCTGATACTACTACACCTCCCCCCTCTCATTCCTTATCTCACCCCCTATCTCCTTTCCCTTCAAATTCTCCAACATGCACAATAACCGTTATCATCCATAGATCAGCTTAAGGTAGAACTCTCCTACATGGGAATATTCGCGGTTTCCGTTCTCACAGACTTGACCTTCGTCTTCTTATAACCCATCCATAATCTGGCTCCAAGAGACTTTTCTTACACATCCTCATATACCAATTCCCGATTACCAGTTTGTCTCCTCACTCCTTTTATGCCTCGTCTATACTTATCCATCAGAAAACACCTTATATCATACCTCCATTTCAAACGAATGTCCCTGCACAGTTATTCGCATCTTTCTTCGCCGTGGGATCATAGTGATATTAGTCTACGTTTCCCCTTCCCGCCCCATTGACTCCAACAACCTTTCCTCGTAGTTGGTGATTTTAACTGCCGCTTTTAACTGCTTTGGGGTGATTTTATCACCAACTCCTGTGGCCGATCCCTTGAACGCTACTTCTCCACAACTGACATTATTCTTAATTCAGATCGCCCTATACACTTGACATGCAAACTTGTTCATGCCTTGACCTCTCTCTATGCCAGTTTTAGACCACTTTCCCTATAGTGACCACCTTCCAGTCCTCCTTTCTACTTCATATGTACCACTTCCTAATCCCCGACACTAGTGCTACTATTCCTCCCCCTCCATCTCCTTCCTCATCCATTTCAGATACGATACAATTTTTCACAGCTACAGTCCTAAGAGCTGCCTATACAGCCATTCCTTATACCTCCAAATGTGTTTTATGATGGAATTCTGATTGCACCAAAGCGCTTCGCTTAAAGCGTGCAGCCTGGAACAGTTATCGCTACAAACGAGGCACACCCTTACCTCCTTTAAAGAGCCTCCGCATGTCTTTGTCGCACAATCCGGAACTATAAAACAAATAGCTGGTGAAATTATGTTTCCTCAATTACATCTACATCACTTTCAACTGTTTGACGTCGGATCCATAAACTATCAGACGAACATCCACCATCCAGCCGCCGTCCTCCATATTCAAGATACTCTCATCTCTGATCCTCTCCAAGTCGCTAATGAACTGCCAAGTCAGTAGTGGCTCTCACCTTTCTCCACACTACTCAAGGGATGCACCCCCATCATCTTTACCCTATCCTCTGCTGAGTCTTAAAACGCTCCTTTTTCTTTATCTGAACTTAATGCTGTCTTACAGTCGTGCCGCAACACTCATGAAGGCTCTGACAGTATTCACTACCGTTTGCTCCGACACCTTTCATTTTCCTCTCTATCTTTCTCTACCTCTACCATTCCCCCTTTCCCCATCTCCGACCTATTCCGTTTTTTGTCCATTCCATTCTTCCATGACATACTTTACCCCCGTATTTGCTTCTCTGTTTTTCCTGATCCACCAAAATCAGATATCCCCCCTTCTGTCCTCCTCACCCATTTCCTTGACCATGACTACATTCATTCCTCCAGTATTCATGTATTCATTCAGTATTCATGACTCCAACTCCACCTCTGGTACTGGTTTCGCAGGAACCTTCTCAACTCGCACTTTCAAATACTACATGCACTCTTTTTTTCTTTAAAACGCCCTTCTTCCTCTTTCACTATTTTTACTGATTCCCGGAACTCATTAATTCTCATAAAATCTATGCACTCGACCAATCCCCTTGTCTGTAAGATCCAGAACTGGTTATTCTACCTGTTCACACGCCGTAAATCTATCAGATTTTGCTGGATGCCCAGCCATGTCGGAATCCCCGGCAATGAACAGGCAGATACTCTAGCATGCTACGTCGCTATGTCCACTTCACAACGACGTTTCTCACGTATTCCAGCCACGGATTATTACCCCTACTTGAACAGACGGAACAGACGTTAGGAAACGTATTGGCTTCACCCGTCTAACACATTCCTATCTGATGTCACATTCTGCCCCTATGATCCCTAAGTAATGTCCCTCTTTCATTTCCACATATTCTGTTGTCCTGTCCATGTTTTGATGCAGCCCGTACCTCTGCCATTAACCATTCAGGAAATCCACATACATCACCTTATTGAACAAAAAAACTTCCTTACCTGCGGGTTTCGCCCCCAAACCCCACCTTCAGTGTTGAGGCGGCAAATTTTTAGAATATAAATAAATATCAACTATTAGTATATTTTTTAAGTTTGATGTGTTTGTAACACCAATTCGAGTAATATATGACTTCATAGTTTCCGAAACGTATTTTAGGCTGCTCCGCGAACACAGGATTGTCCAACCTTTGAAAACCGAAGATTCACTTGATGTATTGCCTAGTCTCTCCCGAGACTTACCGAGTCTAACACTTGAATGCTCCTGTTACTATATCCACTGATACTAGGCGTGACTCGAGTCGCATGTGGGAGAGCAAGAACCTTGAAGGCGAGGGTACGAAAATTCTTGAAATATTGATAATCGGAACTGCAAATGGAAAGTCGCCATGTGGAGCACATATTTGTGCTCAGAGATTTCTTGTGGCCAAGGCACTAACTGGAACGCGTTTATCTTAGTTAAGTTTAACAGCTACTGTATTTGTTTTATAAGTAAAAGTTACAGTGAAGCTTATAACTTTCTATATGAGGCCATGCACTACATCTTGATTCTATTAATATTCATATCTTCGGGATGTGGAAATGAAGAGTGCCAGAGCAGTGAGAGCGAGTTGAATTTTAAATGTGCTTCTCATTCTATTATTCTCTATAATGATTTTAGAGCACATCAATTGCGCTGTGACATTCGTTCATATTTTTTTTCATTGGCAAGATTGGTTTCGATATTACAGTTGAATATATCGGATATTTTCTACAGTAAAATGCATTGCACAAATGTCCCTGTCCACTGTAACGGAAAAGGATCAGACTGACAGAATATTTTATGATTCACACTTTATTATCATAATCTTGCATATATATATTTTGGGAAGACACCTTTTTGCGATTTGCCATACTTAAGTGTGCATTTGTACATTTCGGCTTATACGATCTGAACAAATAAGCATACAGCTTAGAAGTGCATCTCTGAGTAAATTATATAACAAAAAAAAAAAATACCTGCACGACAATGTGCCAAAGTATTAAACATCCCATCGAGGCCGAGGAAAGTACCCCTGAGGCCACGACACAGCCCACTTTCACATCCGTTTGCGATTGGAGGTTCCATCGAGAGCTGCGACGGTTACAGTGCTTTTTACCTGAGCGCAATAGACATTCTATATTTGTGATGAAAGGCTGATTTTCACATGTATTTAGAATGAGGTCTGAGCAATTCAGGAGAGCTATCCGTGCTACACAGTCCGAGTATTTATAGTACACAAAACAATTCAAAACACAACAAACTACACCTAAAACAGCCAGTAAGTAGAAATTAATGAGTAAATCATGTGTATGATTGTGAGTGAGTGAGTGAGTGAGTGAGTGAGTGTGTGTGTGTGTGTGTGTGTGTGTGTGTGTTTGTGTGTGTGTGTGTGTGTGTGTGTGTGTGTGTGTGTGTGTGTGTGTGTGTGTGTGTGTGTGTGTGTGTGTGTGTGTGTGTGTGTGTGTGTGTGTGTGTCTGTATATCTATATGTGCTTGTATATATGTGTATCTGCATTTGTTTATTCGAGCATTCAGCAACCAAGGAGAGAGTTCCTGGAGCCACCGGGCCACCAGGGAGAGCGCGCGCGAGCCAAGACCGAAGTGCGCGCATTCTCGTAGATGCGCGCGGGCCGCCGGTCCTCCACCTCCTCCAGCCAGCGCTCGTACGCGTCCAGCGCCTCCGACGAGCGCTCCAGCTGGCGCCGCAACATCATCGACTTCGCGCCCTCGGAGTCTTGGCTGGAGAGAAAACGACAGGCGGTGCAAATACCTTCACAAATCTGACTTTTTAAAAATCATGGTGATGCTGTATGCTGACTTTGGTAGTCAGCAATTATTAAAAGGATATGAGAAATGATAACGAAAAAATGACAGTGAGTGGAGTAACGTGAAGCAAAAAGCTGATACTTACTAAACCTTCTTAAGATTTTCTCCTTGTTCTGCCATTTTCATTTTCTTCCAGGCAGCGAAAGACATTTCCGCATCCTGCCGTTTTTCCAACTTATCTTGTTCTTCTTTCATCTTCCGTTCTGCCTCCTCTTGTTTTGCTCTCCTTCGCTTTTCTGTTTCTTCGATTTTCTTCTGCTCCTTCCAGGATTTGAATACCTGTTAGTTTACAGAAAAGAGAGAGATAGGGAGGGAGGAGAAGAGAGAGGGAGGGAGAAAAAGGACGTGAAAGGAGGGAGGGGAAGAGAGAGAGAGAGGGAGAGAGAGAGAGGGGGAGAGAGAGAGAGAGAGAGAGAGAGAGAGAGAGAGAGAGAGAGAGAGAGAGAGAGAGAGAGAGAGAGAGAGAGAGAGAGAGGAGGGAGACGGAAAGAGAGAGAAAGATCAGACTGTCATAAAAAGACATTTCAGAAGTGGCTTACTTCTGATTTCAGTTTCTTTAAATCTAGAAATGTGATGACTCAGGGTGGACAGTATTCGCACACTGTTATATTCTTGACCAGCTTTCAAATGGGGATTCGAACCTGTTTCGAAGATTAAATTAAAATGCTGTATTTGAACATCTATCAACTGTTTAGATTAATTTGCTATCTTACTTCTAAAAATACTCGCAAAATAAATACACCGTTAATATTTTAACCAGCTCGTATCAAATTGAAATAGGAAAGCGAAATGCATATTTTCGAACGGGCGACGCCAGCCTACCACTTCCGCTTCCTCTCTCTTGGTCAGCTGTTCCCGCGCTTTTTCCATCTTCCGTTCCTTCTCCGCCCTCTTCTTCTCTCGCTTTTCCTTGGCCAGCGCTATCTTCTCCTTCTCCCAAGCCTCGAGGGCGGCCGCTATTCGCAACTGCTTCTCTTGCTGTTCCTTCTCCTTTTCCGCTGCCTTCTGAGCTTCCGTTTTTTTCTTCTCTCGCTCCTTCTTCTTCTGCTCGAGTTTCTTCTCTTCCCATTCGCACACTGCAACTGTCACTTTCTCCTCCTTTTCTTTGTTTTTCTTCGATGGAAAGGAAAAGGATTAGCCAACACCTCATTTATTTAACGACAGACAAATAGACAGCAAGTAGGCAGAGGAGAGAGAAAGTGGTGAGAAAGGAGGCAGAGAGAGAGAGATAGGGGGAGGGTTGTGGGAGCAAGAAAGAAAGAAAAAAGAGAAAGAGAGAGCAAGAGACCTATAAGATACACCTAAACACACATATCTTAAAATATACAAAACCCATCCCCCCCCCCCCCACACTCACCTCCTCTTTCTTCCTCTCCTCTTCTCTCTGCTTGTCTTTGGCCTTGACCCTCTGCGACCTGATCTGGCGACACCTCTTGAAGTACCACTCCTCGTAGACGGCCTGGCTGAGGGTGGCACGCTGGACCTCGTCTGTCGCAATGCAAGGAAGGCTTGGCACTCACACCTCATGACAGACCAGTGAGGTACTAACAAAACCGGGGAGTGATACAGTGACGGTGGTGATAATGATAACAATAATGATAACAATAACGATGACCCTCATCATCAGCAATAGTGTCATAAATAATATTGATGTTGATGACTATATAACCAATAATATTCATAATGACAATAATAATCAGTAATAACATTAATCATTCTATCATCAATTACAACAAAAATGCTAATGTTGATTTATAACTATAACTATGATATTGATAGTGATAATAATTGTAATAATAATAATAACGATGATGACAGTAGTAACAACAATAATAATATAATAGTATTAGTGGTAGTCGTAGCAGCAGTAGTAGTATTAATGATACTAATGATAATCATAATGATGACAGTAATATAATGCGAAAAATAACTAACAATAATACCAATGGTATTGCTATTAATACGTAGAATAATAATCGTAATGATGATGCTGATATCACAATAGTGTTAATCCATAGGGAATCAATATTCATAATGATAATGACACCAATATCGTAATAATAACTACCGTAATATCAATGATAATAATGATGACAAATGTTTTAATAATAATAATAATAATAATAATAATCATAATCATATAATATTCTTTATAATTTATAACCGTAACACTATCAAATAAAAAAACTTGTGGATGAAACATGACTAACATAAGATTATCAATGTCCGCAAAAAAAAAGAAGAAAAAAAGAAAAAGCAGAAGAGGTAGAAGAAGAAGGAAATACAAACACGAAGAAGAAAGAAAGAAAGAAAAATAAGAAGAAAATGAAAGAACTGATAGCACGAGCGCCCCGAGGCCAAGACCTGCAACTGACCGACAGTGAGGGCGTTGAGCGAGGCCGGGTTCTTGACCTGCGGGATGGCGCGGCTCACGTCCTCCAGCGAGGTCGAGCGGCGGGTCACGCGCGTGTGCAGCTTCCCTTCGCTCTGCCACGACTGCGAGGACGCTGACCTCGGGGTCCTGGGGAGAGGGGCGGGCTGGAGTGAGTCTACTGTGGGGGGGGGGGTCGGGGCGGGTAGACATTAGATATTTCAGGGTGAGTGGATATTGGGTGTGTGTGGGTACCGAGTATTGGATGTGTGTGGCTATTGGAGATTGGGGATAACTGGGCATTACGTATTGGAAGGGAGTAGGTATGTTAGAAAAGTCCTGACTTTTGTAGAGCATCTAGGTGCATGACAGAAGAGGAGAGACAGAACACAGGGATTACCACGAGTCACAAAAGGGCCACTTCATGTTCAACACAATACCTTGATGCCTTGTGGGTAGGCGAGGGCATCTTCACCCCAAGCATCTTTAGACTGCGTGAGTAATTCCCGAGAGGGAGATGGCGTGGAAGCTGTAAGGAAACGCCATATTATTCAAGACTGGCTATTCGAAATCATGATTTCGTTTTTTTACTGTATGAAAATATCTTATTAAGGTGTAAAACGAGATATCGGTACTTAAGGGAGCCTTTCCTATATTACATCGTGTGCAAATGTTTCACTGTGAAGATTCCCAAATAGTGACTACTTCTCAAGGAACCTTGTGTAAGGGAGATTCCCGGTCCATGATCCTCGGTCGAGCCGCGGCGGACCGGGGCCGACTCGCGGAGGAAGCGCCGGATGACCCTGCAAATGGTCGACAAAAGTTAACAGGCGATGACGATACAGCAATTATAATATATATGTATATATATATATATATATATATATATATATATATATATATATATATATATATATATACATATATATATATATATATATGCCCAGTTTGGAATACATGTTCCTTTGCAAGCAAGCTATGGATGTTCAGCATCCATAGTAATACGAATAAAAATGTGCGCGTGTGTGTCTGTGTTTCTTTCATCATACTGCTATTGCAGAACCTCGCAATAAGACTCATAAAGGGAATGCTAGGAGCAACTGGCACGTATTAAGTGAAAATTATACAGAACCAACACAGACCATATTTATGCACATATTAATTCCGCAATGTTCTCTCCCAGCTGCTATCGAAAGCGACTCTCACCTTTGCTCGTTTGTTCTTTGCTGCTGAGGACGCTGTTGATCCCCTTGGAGCTTGTGGAGAGCTGCAGGTCCCTCGCCTGTGGTGCTGCCGATTCCTGGGCTCTCGGAGAGGCGTCGCGAGACCGAACGGCGACGTGTATCGGGCTCTTCCTCACCAGGAGCGGGGAGGCGCATGGAGGCTCGCTCTTGGCGGGGCTCAGGTTGTTGGAGCTCAAGCTCGATGTGTCTCTGCGGGGCGCGGAGCTCGAGCTGTCTGGGGGGAGAGGGGGGAGGATCAAGAACGACCTGCAAGTGGATATTCTCTCTTTTTTTCACGTGCTTCCATAAGGCATACGTACAATTCATTCCAAACACACGTATACGATTTGTAGCCACAGATCGCTTGTAAACAGCAGCGGACCAAAGGGGGTGATTTTTTTGCCGACCCTGAGCGCCCAAAATGAAGCCTGACAAACAAAATCACATACACATATACATATATATATATATATATATATATATATATATATATATATATATATATATATATATATATATATATATGTGTGTATATATATACATAGGCGTAGGAGCCATTGGGGCTGCAGCCCCCCCAGTCGGGTAAATTCTGGTTGAATTCGGGCAATTTTGGGCAGGGGCGTCGATAGGAAATTCATATCCCGACAAAAATTTGACACATTCTCATTTCTGATTATTTTGAACATAACATAAGGCCACTAGAACTAAACGAAACAGAAAACCATCGTTATTTTTCCGACAAGTGCAGAAATTTTCCGACAAAATGGCAGTTTAGCCTTATAGGTGGGTTTTTCGCACCCCCCACCCCCCCGACCCCCTCTATCTACGCCACTGGTGGCATTCATCACAAATTTTATGGCAGGTGAAATTTTCTTCCTCTTTCACTCGGGCAGAAAATTTGCAGCCCCCCCTAAATTTTAAATGCCCCTACGCCGATGTATACACACACACACACACACACACACACACACACATATATATATATATATATATATATATATATATATATATATATATATATATATATATATATATATATATGTATATGTATGTATGTATGTATATACATACATACATACAAATATATATATATGTGTGTGTGTATGTGTGTGTGTGTGTGTGTGTGTGTGTGTGTGTGTGTGTGTGTGTGTGTGTGTGTGTGTGTGTGTGTGTGTGTATGTGTGTGTGTGTGTGTGTGTGTGTGCGTGCGTGTGCGTGCGCGTGTATATGCCACAAGTGCAGCCGTGATCAAGGTCTACATGGTACCTCTCAGAGGCTCGTCCGAGGTCGAGGGCGGGCCCTGCACTGCGCTGATGAGGACCTTCATTGGGCTCCGGCCAGACTGCGGCCTGACTCTCGAGCCCTTAGAAGGCGAAGAGGAAGACGACGACGACGAGACGTTGCTCTGAGACATTTGCAGATGCTCAAGGTCGTCACTCCTGCTGGCGTCGTCGGGGTACTGTTTGCTACTATCTTCCGCGTCGCTTTTATTTTTCTTTTCGTTATCCAAATCAATTTCATTTTCTGCATCTTCACTGACACTGTCAACCGTCTTTTCACTCCATGAATTTCGAGGCGATTCATTCTCGCTCTCACTCGCGCTGTTGTAGGGCTCGCTCTCATCTTTAGACGCTGCCTGGTCTTCTTCACCCGATTTGCAAGAACAATCTTCGCTATATTTCTCAGAATCTTCACTCCCCTCCTCAAAAAAGTCGTCTAGGCTGCTGTCCGACATTTCGGTAAGTAAATAAAAGGATCTTAGAAAGCCAGGGTTTAATGGTGAGAGAATTTAACATATACACAAAAGAAATAATTACGGGTTACGCAGTTACTTTTTTGTTTGGGATGTAGGTATTGTCTTGATGGTAATATGCTATGGCACTCAATTCTATATCTATTCATCGTATTCGAATATTCTATGGGTCTCTTAACTACCAATTCTTCGAAACATGAAACAAAAAGTATCCTTGGCTTAATGCGGATATAATGCTGGTTCCTTTTGTTTGTGCAAGTTTCCATGGTAACGGTTGAATGTTCTGTTTTGTCATTTCTGTTGTTTGCGTTATATGGTCGACATACCATTTTCTACACGAGTTTAGTACATTAACATTACATATATCATGAGCATCACAAGTAGCATATTTACAAGTGTGTAAAAATATACTAAATAGCATAAAACCGTTTTCTTTCCTAGATCCATTGTAGAAAACGATGTTTCAGGGGCAACAATAATAAATTTCATTAGTCGCCCTACTTGTTCTCATGTCTGGTTATCTCTGACCCACCTCAGCCCCAAGATTTCATATTACGATATAGCCAGACGTGCGTCCGGTCCCGGGAGTACACAAGGCCCGTTGAACCGCCCCTGTACCCACCACCTATACCCAAAGCTGGACTAACTACGGATGGTGTAATAGATTACCTGGTAAAATTTCTCACTAATCGACCATAATACCTAGTAATCGACTGGGAAATAATTGCTTCCAGCATACACATTACGTATTATACACATGTACATACTAATATACCTCAGTCTGTTTTACAGCAAATGTATAAATTTATTAAAGAGAAAGAAAGAAAGAAAAAAAAAAGAGTAAAAATAACATGTATAAATAAGCAGAACAAAAAGTAACTTCTAATGGTGAGTTCGTATGAAAGGAACTGGACACTGGACAGTTTTTTTTATTAAGAATAGAATTATGTTATTTTCGTTAATTAATATTCATAGCTTCGTACAAGAATATTGAGTTTATGACTTGCACTTCGAATTATATTAATTAAAATTTCAGTCATTTGACATCATAGGCAGGATTGACAAATGGGCGATAAATAATCGTTTGAAATTCTTTACGTTGCATATTTATCATTAAACTGGTCAGAGAATGTTTATGATTATTTTTCAACAAAAAAGCAAGAATTAATGAGACTAATAGATATACCACATGTGGTTTTGAGACTTATCAAAAGGCAGATAGATGAATAAACACTCAAAATTCACAGCCAGAGCAATACATACGAATTTGTGTACATTTCGATATGTAACAAGTGATCCCTCGAATAGAGCTCCACAAATGTTAAAATATTACAATTTCTTTTGGCTTCCTTATAAATTATATTAATGATATATGACAATAGTAATGAATATAATAACAATCATAACAGTAACTAATGATAATATCAATAATTAGTTACATGCTCGATATTCACCAAACCTTAAAACTAAAGACGCATAAATACCTGAATAAGTTATAACGAGATATCGAACTTTGGGAGGACATCATTAACGATTTAAAGTCTGGTATAAATCAGTCATGGCACTTATTTCAGTTCACAATCCTGGAATGAGTTCCGTGTCGAGTAGTCCAGTAGGTGGGTTAATGGTTAGAGCAGATACTCGAATATGCGTGAATAAGTGAACGATTAGCGAGGGAAATACAAGAAAAATAGTGATATTACAAAGAACACGACGATGTATATGTATTGACAGAATATGAATATATACGTATGTAGTAATTAAATAATAGGCA